GGGTGGGATACTCTGCTTTGGTTTGTCTCCGAAAGCACCTCAACTCAGATCAGCTGCCTGTTAGGAAGGATGGTGGGACAAGGAATGATCCCAAAATCATTCGTCCCTTAGGATTCCTCCCCAAACATCAGCTCCCCACTCCAGAAAATCCTGTGGCAACACAGTCAGAAGAGACAAAAGACCATTTTATTGTGGACATGAGCTGGGGCGGCCAGGAGTCACAGTGCTTTAGCTGATGAACACAAATCAGCACCTTCAGCAACAGAGTCACAGAACTCTGAGAAAACCAGGAGGCAGAAGGAGGCAGGATTTTGCTTCCTTTGGGAGAGCAGCTCCTCAGCAGAAAGGGCCACTGGTGAGTTGTCACCTGGCACCAGCAGACTGAGCATGGCAGAGCCGAGACTCTCTGTGCTCCCAGGCCCCCTGTCCTGCATGACAGGTTTCTCCCAGCACTGCCAGCGAGCACATACAGTGCTGCTGGTGGCTCCCCAGACCTCTCCATCTCCCTGACTGGCACTGTGGGACTCCCCTTCCCTCCCTCCCACACAAGCTCACTCCACTGGCTGCATATCCCTGTACCATAGCATAGCCAGAGGCAGCTGGAAGTCTCCCACTGTCATCTCTGCTGGCCTCCACCAGTTCCTCCAGGCTCCCAGCACTGCTGGACTCCACTGGGAAAGAGAGAAGGAGGAGAAGGTGTGCAGTGATGTCTCTACTGCTTGGCTGGAGCACCAGCACTCAGTGACTGAGCCCAGAGCAGAGAGACTCTCAATGGCACGGAGGCAGCTCAGCTCCAGGTGGGTCACCCAGGCTCTCTTGGCTCCTTGTGGTGTCCTGTGCAGCAGGAGCGGACATGGAGTGTGCTGAGCTCCAAGCCATCTCTTCTCTCTTGTCAGGCAGCTCCTGCTGCAGCCACAGGGACACCTCTCCCCAGCTGGGGAGCTGTGTTCCCCTACCCAGCTGTGTCTGGAGCATCCCCCATCATACCCCAGCAGTGTGTCCACCCACAGCTCTTTCTGCTGCAGAAACAGAGCAGAAACAGCCTCAGGTCCTGCTGACCCCAGAAGGAGATCAGAGATGGGTCTCTGCACTCATGGGGAAGGACATGGTGGCAGAAAAGAGGTGCTGTCCACGCTCTGGCTCCCCCCTCTGCCCTCTGTGTGGCATAGGCACAGTTGGGAACCTCTCCTGCCTGCCTCTTGGACATGGGAACCACGACTCACCTGAAACTGGCAATGCAGGAGCCAGTGGGAAAGAGGCAGGTAATGAGTGTCATGTCTTCATGGTGACCTCCCTGCTCTTCTTCCCCAGCCAGCTTGTTCCTCCCACCCGGCACCCACAGCTGATCCAGGGGACAGAGGCAGCTGTGGGTGCAGTTTGGTACCCCGTTTGCTATAAGAAGAGGCAAGCAGTGAGCTGGAGGTGGCTTTCACTGTATCTGACATGCATTTATGTACATGCCCTCAGCTCCTGGGGGAAACTTCAGTAAACAGTCTTCAAGACAGATATTTGTGATACACACACGTTCTGCACCAGACATGCAGCAGTTCTGTGTGCGACCAACCAACTCAGCCACCAGGAGCAGCCCCTTAAACATCAGTTTAATCTGTTACTGGGAGCCCCAGAAAACCAACTTCTCCTGGGGGTTCACACACAGACAGAGCTCAAAGCCTAAGGGCAAAACCCTTGACCGCAATAATTCAGGGGGCAACAAGAAGCAGTGAAGCCACATGAAATAAATGTCAAAAGGAGGATGATGCTCATGGCCCTGGGTTTCCTCCTCCATCCACGTGTGTGTGACAGCACAAGCCTGTGAAAGCACACAGGCTGCTGAACACTCCCTCCCTGCTGTCCGTACTGATAACTGTCACTTGTCTTTCCCACGGGTGAGCGTGGGAGGGCAGGCTCAGGGACATCTCCCCCAGAACACAGCACCCCGTGGTTTGGCCTCGGTGCCAGAGGAACCTGTCCTCGGAACGCCTTAAAGCCACGCAGCAAGAGGGCATGTACAACATCTGCTCTGCTCTCCAGCCCCTGCCCCTTTCAAACCCCTGTAACTGTCAGTACCATCCTCTCCCAAGTCCTGCCTTGGACACCCCGTCCAGGGTAAATTTATGTCTGAAAAAAACCTTCTAACTGAGGATTTGCAGTGGCAAAGCTACAAAGGTAAAAAAAAAAACCCCACTATACAACCCAAATAATTGTTTATCAGCACTACCATTCAGGTGTAATCCTGAAAATGAGCATTTCCTCTGAACTATTAAACAGTTGACTCCAACCACTGAATCACATTTATTCCCAGACATTCTCCTTTATTGTATTACTCAGCTTTTTCCGAGTCTTACAAAAACGAGGAGTGAGGTGCCTTGCCACCCAGAAACCAAAGGAAGCTTCCATGAAACCAGCAAACACCTCCCATCCTCTCAACATTGTCATTAAAAAAGCAAAACAAACCAGAGAGGTTCTACAAGTCAGCCCATAAACCCAGGCATGAGGAGAGTAATGTCAGTGGTAATGGGGCAAGAAAGGCAGGGTAATTATACCACACCAAATTTGCAATCGTGCTGCATTCCTTGCCAGTGAAGGCCAGCTAAGAATTAGATACACCTTTTTAAATCATCAAAGGGAGTGGCTGCAAGATACAAGGTGTTGGGATTAAGATGAAGTTCTGGGTTTGCCAGTTCTCAGCTCCCAGCAATGGCTTTGGTGGCTGGGCTGGGCATGTCATTAACTGCTCCCAAATGGTGCTCACGCCATGCCACTTCTTTTTAATCTTTATATGATTCTCTGCATTTCAAGAGTCCCAGGCTCCCACTGAACTAAAGGCTGTAGAAACACAGAAATGGAAGACAATACCTGTCCACAAGGTTTTTTGCACTTGGTCAACCAAACAAGTTTGGTAGCTTGTACTTCAGCACCATTTCAGTAGTGCACAAATATTTATCATGTTGCTCCAGCTACTACCACAAGGTTTGCAAACTTAGGCCCTCAAGTATGGTAACTCAAGAGCTTCCCTGCCAAGAAAGGTGTTAAAAATACTGAATGGGGCTATTCTGTACACATAATTTAACAAGCACTACATGGGTGAGGGAACAGATTTGGCTCAGACCTCTCCTTTTTCAGCAGAACAAGCAGAGGAACTTAGGTGCAGCACTCACCCTGCAGCTCTTTGCAGAGGGAACCTTCTGGGAAGCTGGGTCTCAAGGAAGCCCTGCCATGGGTGAGAGGCACAGTGCTGCCCAGACGTGGAATCCTGCTCCATGGACTGCTGGGCAATGCAGGTAATCTTCTGCTGGAGAACACCTCCCTCGGAGAAACTACAGGAGTGACCATCAGACAGGCAGGACAGGGGCGTACTGAGGCAGAGCTCCTCTCTGAGTGCCTCACATTGTTCATGGTATACAGAGGATTTCAGTGTCCTCCTGGTCTATTACAAGATAAGAGGATAACATGGCACAGAAACAGACAGGCACAGGCCACCAGAGCTTTAAAAACTCACGAACGTCCTTTTCCATCAAAATTTCATAGTGCAGGTTGTTCCAGTCAATCCATGGCCAACAAAATAAATGCTGCATTTGTGCTAGTTTTGGGAAAACAAGCCAAAAAAGCAAGCACAAGGCAAAGCAGCTAGCCAAATGGACAAGTCTTGTTATTTAATTATTTTGAAATGAAAAAGTTCATTTAAAACCAGCTACAAAACAGATACATAATGATGGCCTCTCCCTTCATAAAACATCATGCTTTGGCACAAACAACTGGCTGGCCTGATTTTATGTCCAATGAATTTAATTTTATCCAACAAAGTGTTTCTCTGTACAGCAGAGAAGACAAAGGGTTCTGAAAAGAGCTCTTTGGACAATGTGTAACACCATACAACTAAATTTAAAAAAAAAAAAAAAAAAAAGCTTAGGATGATTTCTGTTCCCTCTTAGGCCAACAGAAAAAACATAATGCAGTTGGCATCATCATCATGGTGAGGTGAGCAGCACAGAGGAGGTGAAACACATCAAGCTAATTCCAGTTCCACTTTGTGGTAAACTTGTGAATACACTCACCTGACCACTGTAAAGCTAGCTGTTTCTGATGTGTGATGGGTTCGTGTTACTGCGCTATTTACAAATTCAGTCTCCAGCAAGATGCTTTCCCTTGTGGTGACGAGACAGTGTTTTGGCAAGAAGAAAACAGTCCAGTGGTTTTCCCATGCCGAGACCTGGGCCACAGGGAGGCTCACTGCCTCTGTGCCCAGCTGTGCTGGTACACCCTGAAGAAGCCATGACTTCACTACATGACTTCCAAACATCAGCTTCTGTGAGCCATCTCCAACTGGGCATCCAGAGAGGAAAACATGCCCAAATTATGGGCACTATTGAAAAAATAGCCAAGCGTCTAAACACTTGCACAATCTGTTCTTACACTCAGTACCTCTTGATTTCTCAAATGGCATCACCTACTGATTGCAGGCGTTTCCCAATGGACACCATCATACTGAAACCCTAAATATTGCAGTGACTTTGCTTCTCCCACTCCACTTTACTCAATGTAATTAATCCTCACAGTGCCTCGGAGGAGGAAGGACAGGGACATTCACCAAACCAGCCCAGTGTGTAAGCAAGAGCCATGAAAACCCAAGGCCCCTGTGTGAGGTCCTGCAGAGCACAGGCCAAATCCAGTTGCTGTGTCACGTTCCTAAAGGCATGCTCATGCCATCAAATCCCAGTGGTGAAGAAGCGACAAGAAAGCCTTCCTCAATTCCCCACACCCAAGACCCCGAACTCATCAAAAGGACCATGACAGCACGTTTGGCGGGTCGAGTCACTCCTGTGGTTGGTACAGGCGAGGGAATCCTGGCGCGGCACGAGCGGGGCCGGTGGCCGCGGGCGGAGGTCGCCGCGCTCCCGCAGAGCGGGACACCCGCAGACACCGCCGCGTTGCGTAACTACGGCCACTGCATGTCAATGGGAGCTCACGGGCACGGGCCGGCTTATGCAATTACCGCACCTCGCCGGAGGCTGCAGGGACGGCGGGCCCGGGGGAGCCGAGCCGCACTCGGGGCCTGGAGACTCCGCTCACCCTCGGAGCTCTGCTCACCGACCCCACTCGGGGTCTCCGCTCCCTGAGGGTCCTCGCCACGGGGCACGGAGGGGAGGGGGTGGAGGTTCATGCCGGAGGGGCCGAGCAGTGTCCCCACCTCTGGAGGAAGGGAGTCACCCAGGACGCCCGGCGCGGCGCATTCCCTTCGCCGAGGTGTCCAAGCTCGGACATAAAGGTGATCCCTGACATGATGGCCGCGGGGCTGCTGCGGCCCCTCCCCAGGCACCCATCACCTGCAGGCGCCAGGTGAGGGGCCCGGCCCGCCCGGCCCGGGCCCACCGCCATCCCTCAGCGGAGCCGCGCTCTCCCGCTCGCCGAGGGACGGCCCCGCCGCGGGGCCGCGGAGCGGAGCAAGCGGCGGCAGCCCCCGCCCCGCCCTGCCCGGCTCCCCCTCGGGCCAAGGGCTGGGCTCCCCGCCGGGCGAGGCAGTGCCAACCGGCCACCTCCCCTCCTCCTCTTCCTCCTCCTCCCCCTCCTCCTCCTCCTCCTCCTCCTCGCCTTCCTACTTCTGCACCGGCTCCGCTCCGGCTCTGCCGCTACCTCTCCGCCGCCGCGGCTGCCACAGACCCCCCTCCCTCCCTCCATCCCTCCCTCCCTCCCTCTCCCCCGCCCTGTCCCCAGCGCCGCCGCCACCGCTTCCACAAGATGGCGGGGACCGTGGCCGAGCGGGACGCGCTGGTGAGTGCGGCTGTGGGCACCGGGACGGGCACCGGGACGGGCACCGGGGCGGGCCTGGGGTCCGAGCAGGGCACCTGCGGAGCGGGGCGGGCTGGGGGGCTCCGCCTGGCCCTGCCTCAGCGCTCTCCTTTTTACCTGCAGAAAATAGAGGACGGGCATTTAAACAACTCCCTGGGATCTCCGGTGCAAGCTGATGTGTACTTCCCTCGCCTGGTAAATCACCTTTGTTTGGGCTTTTTTTTTTTCTTTTTTTTTCTGGTGCGGGTGGTGGTGTATTTTATTCTGTCAACCCCTTTACTGTCCCCCGCCCCCGCTCAGCTCGGGCTGCACAAGGGCGGCCGCTGCTGATGCCGTGCTGACCCTCGCCACCTTCCCCCTGTCCTTTCCAGATCGTCCCCTTCTGTGGGCACATCAAAGGAGGAATGAGGCCGGGAAAGAAGATCTTAGTTATGGGCATAGTGGACCTCAACCCCGAGAGGTAACACCTGGACAGGGCTGCCCGTGCCGGGGGCGCCGGGCCCGGGGAGGGGGCGAAGGGGAGCGACCACCCGCACGTACACACACACACATCCGCACGGATCCCTCCTTTCTGGAAAGGATTATTTTTATCATTTTAAATATAGCATGCTGATTTCTCCTTTGACCCATAGAGGGGGCATTTCTTCAAGGGATTCCGTTTTCACTTGGGAGTCAAGGAGCATATCAAGCATGTGTATCTGCATATATGTACAGATATATGCCCAACGCCATGCACACACACACACACATATATTCCATAACCATGTTGTTGTCCCTGTTGAGCTTTCAGAGAGCTCTGAACGATCTGAGCTGTCTTCCAGCCTGTGCCACTATAAGGCTTTAATAAGCTGAGAAATAAGACTGGCAGCATTTGGGGCTTATTTGCTTTTTTTCTGACTGAATGAGAGCTGTTCTGCTTGTGTTGCAGCTTTGGCATCAGTCTGACTTGTGGGGAGTCAGAAGATCCTCCTGCGGATGTAGCCATAGAACTGAAAGCTGTGTTTACAGAGAGACAGTTTGTCAGAAACTCTTGTGTAGGCGGAGAATGGGGGGAAGAGCAGTCATCTATTCCTTACTTTCCATTTATACCGGACCAGCCTTTCAGGGTGAGTACCAGGATGGTAGTGGCTTACACCATGTCTGATAAAGTGTCATTTGATACGAGTTGCAGCAGAACCTGACGTGCCTTTCATGAAATCACAGTGCAGCCCGCACTGCTCCGGTTGAGACACCAGTTGCTGGTTTGTTTGTATCCATTGAGTTGCGTGGAGATCCCGCTGCTACGTGCAGCTGCAGGCAGTTCAGATGGGGCTGTGAACACCTCACCTGGGCGCTATGACAAGTCGGAGGTTGTAATACTGTGTGATGAAGCGCAACTTCCTGAGCTTAGTTTTATAACCATAAATTAAGAGGTACCTCTATGTTATTAGTGCATTACAAGTTATTACTGGAGAATGTTAATATTCAGTGGGGCTGCTGTATATATTGATGGTTTTTTTAATGGACATACTGTTTGCAATTTAGTGCAGCTAATAAGGATCACGTTCATCCTTTGTCCCCAGGGATGTTACGTTAAGGTTGACCGTAGCTCTTCGTGTTAGCAGATTAAACAGCTAAGCAACAGTGGTATTCTTTTCTGAACCCTGGGATTAAGCCTTCCATCAAATTTAAATCTATAGTCACTTGAAAACAGTGTACATGGAAGTGCTGTGGTGCTGTGGATGGACTGGGTTGACCTAGAAGCAGAGTCCCATCTGTAGTGTTTATGGTTATGTGAAGATGTCTTTGCAAATCAGGACTAACAAAGTATGCAGCTGCAGAGGGCTGCTTCCCTCTCACTACATTGAGGAAAAAAGGCTGCATGCCTTTTCCATGCAGCTGACCCAGAAAACCCCTCCTCCTCCCTGTCCCTCTTACAAAACCTCACTGGCCCCTCTGCTAAATGCCAGTGCTGTGACCAGCTGCCAAACTCTCTTAATCCTTCTTGCCCCCAAGATAATCTCCCCCAACCCCAAAAGCTCACCATCTCCCCAGATGCTTGGTGTTAAGAGGGTGTTTATATGACTGGTTTTGCTGCAAATTGGTTGCGCTCTACTTGTTTCTACAAACTCACCCTCCCATCAGAACTGGCAACACCCTTTGGTGGTGTGGGAAATGTACTTGAAAAGGCTTGGAGGCTGGGTCCTGCTCCATCTGAAAGGGTTCCACTGCCTTCTGCACTGGGTGGTGACTGGGCCCTCAGACAGCCAGACAAATTACCCAGAGCAAGTTTTGTGCATGTCCCACTAATGAGAGATGATGATACAGGACAGCAAAATTGCACATCTAGCATGGGAGACTGTAGAAGGGGAGTTATTTTCCCTTTTTTTCCTCCTTTTTTCCCAAATGCCCAAACAGAATTGAGGTTCCCAATTGACTTTGTACTTTTGATGGTCTCCATCTCAGTGAATAAATTAAGACTATTAAGTGTTCTTGCCAATTACTTGTGATCCAGTCCAATTAGTGCTGTGGCGTGGCCGCAGGTGATGTGAAAAGCGGACCGTGAGCAGTGTTAACCATATCTTTTACATAACAAGGCCTCAGGCAGGCACTGCTGCAGTGACACAGGAGCTCCATGGCAGCGCAGCCGCTTCCTTGGTACCTGGTGCACTACCGGGGATCCAGGAGTTCCAGCTCTCCTGGACTGCCTGCTGCCACTTCTCCTGGTGCAGCGTGCTCTAAGTCACTGGGGCTTTGGCACAGTCAGTTTGTCACGGGTCCTGTTCCCATTTTTATACACTGTAATAGCAGCAGAGTCAAGTGTTTGGTAGCAGCTCTTCACTCCGGACTTCCAGCTGCTGGAAATGACCCAGGATTTACATGTGGCTTCCCTGAAGATTTTCTCCTTAGTGTGTCTAGATCTGGAGGTCTCCAAGAGCCTGTAAAAGTGCATGTTTTGTGCCCTGATGTCCTAGCTTCCATGCTGGGGCAGTTCCAGCAAAGCCTAACAACAGGGCACCCTCTCAAGCCACCCCAAACATCAGGAATCTCCCAACATGTCCAAGCTTGTTCAGCTCCAGGCTTTGTTGCTTTTCCAGAGCATTTCTGCAGGTCTCTCAGGAAGAGGGGTGAGCTGTATCCCTCTCTGATCCTGTTTGTGCCTCCTGAGAGCTGTTTAGTTGAATTCCCAGGGATCCTGCACTGCATTTCCTTCACTGCAGCCCCAGGATGAAGTCCAGTCTGACAGGGACTGTCTGCAGTCCGCAGGAGTGAAAGGGTTTTAGTTCTGCAGCAGCTGTGTGTGTGTGTGGGAGGGAAGAACAAACTTATATCCCCTTTCCGTGTTTACCCCCTTCCAGTAAATTAAAAGTAGTGTGGAAAGCATTGCAGAGGGAGCTGTCTCCTTATGCAGGAAAAAAAAAAAAAAAAAAAAAAAACCCAAAAAAAAACCACCACCAAAATCAACAATTTTGTAGTCTTTTCTGCCCATTTTGAACTGAAACTGTCACACAAGGAATGCAAGGTTTGGGTTGGAGGTTAAATTTCCTCCTGCTGTGATTAGCAGTTTGAGTCTGTTTCTGGTATTATTCCAAGACACAAACCCTCCCAGTAGCCAGTGGACTGGGTTGCAGCGTGCTTACTGCTAGGACAACGTGAGATTTGAGATTGGATTAATGTCCTTGTGCAGTAAGAGCAGATCCATCATAGCGGAACTGGTGTCAAGGGGGCAAACTGGTCTCACCTTTGTCTCTTGCGTGGCACATAAGTAGCACAATGTGCAGCTGTAGCTCTTTGAAGTGCTCTTTGTGTGCTGTGAAACAACTTCCCACTTACACTGTGAACAACATGCTTCAACATTTTATCTTTTGCAGGTTGAGATACTTTGCGAGCATCCCCGTTTTAGAATATTTGTGGATGGACATCAGCTCTTTGATTTTTACCACCGTATTGAAACACTGTCAGCAATTGACACAATAAAGATAAATGGAGATCTTCAGCTTACAAAACTGGGCTGAGCTTGTTAGGACTGCAGATTCCAAACCAGCTCAGGTGCCATCGTCCGTTGGGAGCAGTGACAGCCGGCTCTGGACACAGCTATGGTAGGAAGACTGCCCTGTTCCTTTTCCGCATGCAGTTCTTCACTCCTGTGCCGATGAACCGGGCTGTGTTTTATCCTAACGAAGAGCACTGTTGGTTTGTAGACATTGAGCTGTTTTTCTTGGATCAAAATAGCCCACCTGTGCTGGATAATCAAATTGGAATGGATTCAGAAAGACTTGCAGTCTCGTTTCAAATCTCACAGAAAAGGCAATCTCTGAAATGCAGCGCTAAAACCGGTTACTGAACAGTAGTGACGACAAAAACAAGTTTTTCTTTTGCAAATATGTTTTCTGCACTGAAGTGGAGTAGTGTAGCACAACATAGGGCCATGTGCTGACGTCCTTACCCAGGGCCTGAGCCTGGTTCCATGGAAATCAATGGCAAAACTCCCACTCACTTTAATGGGGTACAATCAAACTGTCTAGTCCTTAGTCAAGCACAATTCCCACTGATTTCTATGGCATTTTTGCACAAACCTTGGGGCCTGCCCTTCTGCTGGTGTAAATCAGCATTACTTCCATAGCTTGTAATGGAATTTTGCTGATTGCCCTCAGCTGCTGGTTTGGCCCATGGACTGTGCAAAAACTGACTGAGGGTGTGTGGACACAGCCTGTGTATTTTAGTCAGGGTATTTGCATAGAATGTAGATTGTTATGAGTTTTTGCACAACGTATTGTTAATACAATTTTTAAAACTTATCTGTAGTTTATTTATTTATACTCATTGTATGTATTATTAGTAAAAATGAACAATCTTAAGAATAAGAACAGCAAAGTGTAAACATTTTGAATGTACAAAATGTCTTAGGTTCTTCGGGTAAACTTTACATATCGTTCTTGAAAAACCATGTTTCCTATCGCACATTTAGTTGCATTTTAATGGAGCCCTCTAGGCCCTGGGAAAACGTGGGCATGGTAGTTGGTGGGGGGGAGGTCTGCATATTCACTAGAATCTGTTTTTCAGGGCTTACTAACTTTGCTGCATAGGATAGGTTTGAGATGAAGTCGATCCATTTTAAAAACTTAAACAGCAAATTTGTGGGTTTTACTGTGCTTTCATAACCTGAGAAAAAGTCAAATTTGGCAATCTCTCCATTCTGAAAGAGAACCAGCCTCTTTCCAAGGGAGATGGGAGATTCTTTACACTTGTTTGAGAACATATTTGGCCTTTGATATGACAATTAAAACTTGTCTAGACAGCCAAGTTATTAATGCTTGAAAATCAGCTACGGCACATGAATAATAACTTTTCAAGTAGCTTTTTAAATAGTAGGTATAGCTGTATAAACACAGTCATTGTGCTACACTATAAATGAACACAGCCACTTTTCTTGACTTCTTTAGGACTAAATACACTTTTTTCCTTGGCTGCTCACAGTGGACTTCAGTGGGTCTTTCTGAGTAGTTGTAATCATGATATAAACATATATTTAGGCAATTTTGAAGACACGTAATATAGGGACTAAAAACCAGACTGTAAAAACATCCTCTGTAGCACAGTATTTAAGAAAAAACAAAAAAAGTATCTCACAAACGGATCTATGTTAAACCTGCAATAAAAGTGTGGTTTAAAGCAACCAGAACTGGAATATCCAAAGTTAAGGGTAGAATGCCAATGCAAAGCCTCATTTTGTGCTAATTTGGCCTGCAGTTAAGAAGCCTTAGACTTGCAAGCTGAAATTCCAACTGTGGCTCTAGTCCAAAGCCTGTTGAGGTCAATCAGAGTCCTCTGAGCATAGAAGCCTGATTCTTATTTCTTGCAAGTGCAAATCTGTTTGTAAAGCGGGGGGGTTGTTGCTGCTGCTGCAGATGAATTAAGAATCAGGCTACCACCTGTAGAATACAAGTCAAAAATTTAATTTTTAGCCTTAACATTTGACGTTCCCTAACTTTTCTTCCTACTTCCAAAATAAAAGAGAACCTGTTGTTTTCCAGATGAACTTTTTACCTGGTGTGTGGCTTTTAAGCTGTACATCAGATTCTATTTGTACTCCATATTGAGCTGAAATGTTCCTGTCTTGCTCTGTTTTTACTCTTTTACATGATACATAATGACTGTGTCATTTTCCATTGTATAAAGAATGCTGACAGTGTTTCGGTATAAAATATATTCTTAAAAATTATTATAATAAATATCCAAGGGAAAGGTGCTTCTACATGAGGTATTTTGGATTTTTCTCCAGCTTGAAAATTCCCTATGATTCCAAAGCTGATGCAGGCAGGAGATGAATTCTGTTTGGAGAGAAATTTAGCACCCTCTGTGCCTAGTGCTTTCTCCAGCTGGACATCCAAAGCCAGGTTTGCTGATGCAGGGCCGGTGCCTGGGCCTGGCCCGCTGGGCCAGTGGGAAGTGTAAGTAGCACCATGACCCTACAGTAGCACAAACCCAAAGGGAATCTCCCTGACAGCCCACCAGTAGAGATTCCCCCTCCATGCCTTTACTGTATCCTGGAAAAAGCATTTTGGCTGCCTTGGATTTTCACAGCCCCCACGCATTCGCTCTCCCGCGGGCGCCTGGCGCAGCACAGCGCCTACACCAGGGATGCCAAGGTGAGCTCAGTGCAGTGTCAGGGACATCTCTGGTGGGAGCCAGGGCCTGGTGTTCCTGCCTTGCTCCTGTTCCCACCTGCTGTGCTGGGCACTCCCATTTGTTCCTGCTCCAGGAGTTTGCTCTCTGGGGAAAATGCCCTTTTGACCCTGATTCTGGTTTTGCCTTTGCATAACTCCACCACCTGATCCTGCCCTGTTGTGGTTTCTGAGCCAGGCTTCGAGGCAAGAATGGCTGTGAATCCTCTTCTGATGGGTTATGGCTTGGCTGAGAGCTCAAGAAAGGGAAGAAAGTCACAGTTAAAGAAAGCTTACACGTCTATCTGTTGATCACCTGATTGGAAGCCTCTTTATTTTGCTTTTGCTCTTGGCACTACCAGGCGATGGCAGGCGAAGAAAGGATGATGTCTGTGTAACCAAGGGCTGTTCCACTCGTGCTTGACTTACACTGGCTGATCATGTTAAAATGCAACTGCAGAACACTTGCACATACAGTGTAAGTCAGAGAAAACTGAGGCCTTAATTGTTTCTACTTAGTCGGACTTTGGGTCAAATCCAAATGTTTCAAATGGGAGACTGCGCTGCAAAATTTATACCTGAATTTTTCACTCTCCACAATTTAGGGATTACTCACATCTTTGTTTTGGATGTAAGCCCTAATAGACATGAAATAAAGACTGTTTTCAAATTAGGCCAGGTTTATAAAATGCTTTTCAGTAGGGAGAAGTAGTCTATGAGCCTCTTGGAAGCTGCAATTCTTCAGGACTTCAGGAGTGAATGAACCAGCCTTTGAAATAATTTGCTAAAATTTATTAGCTGAATATTTCTGTGGTTTCCTCTGAATGAGGAAGTTGTTTCTGCAATGAAAGAAGTCTTGAATGGGTAAAACCCATGTGGAGTGGAAACACTCAACTTAGCATAGCTTTATTTTTCCAAAGAGGAAAAAGAAAAAAAAATACAACTAACGAAAAAAATCACAACCAAATTATTTAATTATGTTTCGGATTGGCTGTGATAAAGCTGATTTGATTTTAGAAAAACAAAACTAGGTTATTGCCTGCTCAGAAGGAGCCTTGAAATATTTCAGTGTCATGTGAGGTAGTCTGTCTAAACATATTTCACACAAACGCTTTTTCACAGGCAACTTGTTAAAACTGTTACAAAATACCTTCTTTTTGTGTCACAATTAGAAATGTTTGCCCCACCTTGAAAGAACATTTTGTACTAAATATTAATATGTTGTCTATGAGAACTTGCACTAACATATTATATTCTCCCTCCCCTCCCTGGCTAGTTTGAGCAGAAACAGGCGTAATATTGCTAAACCGGTTGAATGTGACATGTGCTTGAGGCCCAGCATCTTTCTCAAGGGCTGCTTTGAGTAAACAGCCTGAAAACCAAAAGGGAGAGCCTTAATCACCATTCTGCTGTGACAGCTTTCCACCCTTGTCACTCTTGTGCTGCGAGGCTGAGACTGAAGCCCAGAGATTTTCCACACAGGGAACACTACTGAGATTTTTATCTTCATCTTTGAAAATGCTCACTGTGGAGGGAACAAGGCCAGAGTGGCCACAGCACTCATCAGCTTGGTAGTCCTAAGAGAGCAGGAGTTCAGAGGGCATTAGAGGGCACTTCAGGGCCAGACCAGGTAAAGGCTATGGAGATGCATGGCAGCTTCCCAGGGATGGGCTTTTCCCACATTTTTAGCTGCCACCTTCTGCAGCTCCCTACCAGGACTTGTGGCAAAAAACCAGCATTGCTTACAAGCTTGGACAGCATGGATTGGTTCATGTTCCTACTCGCCTGATGTAAAAGAAGCTCCCAAATAAATAACAGGAGAATGTAGGAGTAGCCACACCACTAAGGTATTTTTTCCCCACAGACATTCAAGCAGGATATCTGATGTGGGGCTCATTTGGCCTCCTGTCCACAGGAAATGCTCCCCCCAGAGAGCTCCAGCACTGTTTTCTGCACTGAGGCTGCACAGAGACCTTTCCATGCAGAAAACTGCAGAACAACAATTCTGCTGAGCCAGTTAGCAACCTCCCAGCGTGCCTGGAGTTGATGTGACAATGTAAGGAACAAGAGTCAGGGGCTGAAGGCAGCCTCAAATGTCTGCTGTGATAAGCATGGAAGTAAGGAAGAAAAGCTTATACCAGGGTAGGAACAGTAAGTGACCTGGTGAGGGGTTTTGTAATCGTGATATTGTTCTGATTTTCTCACATGGATCAGAAAGCACACAGGTGAAAGTCACTTTACAATGAATGGTGTGCAGGGTTAGAACTAAGGCCAACCCAAACAGGGGGAAGAAAAATGAGCTGCAGACGCCCTATCTGGCTTTGATACACCCTCCCAGCTCCTCCCAGCAATCACTGCTGCAATGAACATAGACAATTACTACAACAAGGAGATTCAGCAGCATGTGCAAGATCAAAATAATAAACTCCTGTTTGCCACAGGTCCTCCCTAGCTCCTGTTGCTAGGACTCTGTCTGTCAACAAATAGCTATGTCCTTCTGCTTTTAAAATCCATGTCAAAAATCCCTTTGACTTTCATGGAAATAGGTCCCTAAGAAAAGAGTTATTTCTAGCTCTCACTCTCCAGTTATTTTCAGCTGGGGCATACTCTAAAACTGAGTTTATTTTTAAGTGTGAATAGAGGACTATTTCTGACTGCATTATACATTGAATAGAGTCAACAGGAAGCACAGCCTCTCTCTGCTGCAGGAACACTGGTTTCACAGTTTGCTGGTGAAATGTCTTGTATTCATTACCTTCTGATTTTAAAAAGTGAGAGTGTGCACAAAACGACCGGGCAATAACAGTAATATGTACCATTCACCACAGATCTATTTTTATGTGTTGTGCTGATTTCATAATGAACTTTTAATAACAATAAAACACGAAATCTTCACTAAATTGTTCTGTCTTTTATCTGAACTATCAATGTTCATTACATACCCTCTTGACTCCTTTAACTTATGGGTTTTTTATCTCCTGACTGTTTTTCAGACTCTTCTCATTAGACTGTAGTGTGGAACTTTAGAATGAAATCTGCAGCTTTGGTAGCAGCTTGTACAAAAACTGCTTTACAGTTTAAATGCACCATGCAGAACAATAAGATAACTTCATTAGAGGGAAAAAGCTTGCTGACTCTTGCAAGACTCCTGGTGACATCACTGGGCAGTGTAAGCCTCAGGAGGCACAGGTCACTGATCACTTCTGCACAGGGTGAAACAGCAGTGTAACTCACACGTGTTTCATCTCACTCTGGTGGGGCTGGATTCATGGGTGAGTGCTACAGGGCGAGTAAAACCACCAGATCAGCTCCAGAGGCATATTATTATGAGATCCAGTGTTTCACTTTTTGGTGTCACCTTAAGTAGTGTTCACATTGGCCTGACTGAGTGCAAGAGGAAACTTTTAGGTCTCAGCTTCTGTCAGTTAAAGTTACTGGAAAAATTCTGCGTGACCCAAGTGGGTAAAGGGTTATGCCCTACAGCCTCTTGTGGCTGTAAAACACAGGAGGTTTTCTGGGGGAAACCTCAAAATTCAAACAGTACTAAAGCAGCAGATGAACAGGATTTGAATACAGCCAGTTCTGTGGTTTTTCTGCCAATAAAATGACTGATTCAGATGCTGCACAGGAAGTCCATCCTAGCTCTGAGCCATAAGTATTAATCTGTGGCCATCCCTGCTCAAAGCCAGACAGAGGTTGGCCCTTTGCTTACTGCACACAACCCTGAGAAAGAATATGTTGACATCTGGAGATTCTGAGATAAAACACGGCATTTGGTAACCTCACTGCAAACCAGAAATGGCTGTGAGTGGTACAAAAGCATCATCTAGTCCCCACCAGACAGCAGAAGCACAGCACTGCAGAAGTGCATGGAGGGATATACATTACATTCCACCACTTGCAAGGGCTAACTCCTACAGAGGGCCTTGGAAGGCTCTGGTTTGACCTGTAATACTAAAGTGAACCACAGGCATGTTTTGGGGTGAGGAGGACGCCTGATGTGGCAAGAGCCATGTGTACTTCTCTCCTGTTCAGATCAGTACTACAGACACCTCACAGCTGGGCCTTATTTTGGTGCAGTGTTTCTGAGCTTCAAGTGAAGCCAATTCATGCTGAGGGATTTACACACAGGAATACCACCAATATGACTCTTTGCTAGCACTGCACTTGATTTTATTTTTAAATTATGACTTTCACCACTTTTCTAAGAATAGAGGCTGGCTCTGAAACATCACGTTGGCTCCAGCATGCTTCAGAAGTTACACATTTCTTATCCTGTTGAAGTTTTGAGGCTTCAGTTTCCTCACTGGTGCCTTGCTAGACCAGGGCTGTGATGTCAGGAGGGTCATTCTGTGAAAGACCCCAAGAAGGAGGTGTCTTTCAGCAGCTCTCTTCCCTGCAGGCAGAAGGCTGCTCTCTCTCTCTCTCTCAGTAGTAAGATGTGACAGCAAACCAGAGCTGACTCCTGGATGGCAGAGCAGGGCTTCCTTGTGACTGAAAGGCAGGAACAAAAGCCTGGTTAATCAGAAAAACTCCACTGAAGCTAAACAGTAGATCTAAGCAGCAGAGAAAAGCAGGATTTCAG